GAATCCACTGTAGATGATCAAAATCTTTGCCGTGCAGTCAACCTATGCATACAGTAGCTTTTTCCATCCTGGCATAAAACTGGCAGTAATAAAGAACATTGTAAGATTCATGCCTGAATCCTCTGTCATAATTCTCCATTCTAGTGCTCCCATAAGAATTCAATCTGTGCTGGGTAGATAGAGCACAAAGACGGTTCACGCCTTTAATCCCAGCTCTTGGGAGGCAAAGGCAGTTAGGTGTCTATGAGTTTGAGCCCAGATTGGTCTAGAGAGCAAGTTCCAGAACAGCCAAGGTTACACAGAGAAACCCCATCTCAAAAAGACAAAAACAAAAACAAAAAAGAATTCAATATGTGACATAGACAATACTGCAGCCCTGTTTGGATATGTGTGTGTGCATGTGTACATATACACATGTGTGTGTGTGTGTGTGTGTGTGTGTGTGTGTGTGTGTGTGTGTGTGTGTGTGTGTGTGTGTGACTGCTGTGGGGTATCCACCAGAGAAAACTACTCAGACCTGGGTTCAAACAAATAGGAAGTCTTTATTAGCCAGCTGGTGACTACACTGGTTGTTCAGGACCCAAGTGCAGTCCTGAGCCTGTCTCAGAATGAACTTTTAAACGCTGAGACCACATCCAGGGTTGGCACACCTCAGTTAGCAAGGGCAGTTAGGCAGAAGCAGAACTACAGAGGCCAAAAAACAAGGTTAGAACATTTAGGAACTTTCCCAGAACTATGGACTTTAAGGGGCCTCTTGGCGCAATGGTAGCGTGTCTGACCCCAGAACTATGGACTTTGATGGATTGGGTCTTTGTTCTCCTTCGACAGATGGTGCTTCCCATGTGCTGGGTTTCAAGGCCTGAATGGTATTTTCATCATTGAGTCAATTGAGCCCAGGTCCAGGGGCCTGTTACATTTCTATTTGTGTGTGTATGTGCATGTGTGTGTCTAAAATCTTTATATATTTACATGTGTATATTAAAATATAATAAATACATTTGATATAATATAAATATAGAATATACATTTATATAAACATCTAGCATATATAAATATATAAAAATAAATATAACAATGGATTCGTTTTATATAATACAATATACATAGTATAACATATAAATAAATTGAATTGCTATTAAATGTAATAAAATATTAGCTATTAAATTTATATCTCCATACATTTTTTTTGGTTTTTCGAGACAGGGTTTCTCTGTATTGTTTTGGAGGCTGTCCTGGAACTCGCTCTGTAGACCAGGCTGGCCTCAAACTCACAGAGCATACATTTTTATATAATTATTCTATATAAAGCCCTTTTGAGCCCTCTCAAGTAGCCAAGAGTAACCTTGAACTTCCAATACTGTTTGATTTTTTTCAGTGCTGGGGAAGAAAGCCAGAGCTTCCAGCATGCTAGGCAAGGACTCTCTCTACCCACAAAGCCACAGCCCCACCACAGAGATCATTTTTGATACTGAACTCCCTTAAGCCTAGTGTCTATGTTCTCTTTCAAACTGGGAAAATCTGTTCAGAGGTACCTCAGAACAGGTACACCTATACCCAATATTCAAGAGGCAGGGAGATCATGAGTTCGAGACCAACTTGTGCTACATAGTAAGTTCAAGACTGGCCCTTCTTTCTACCTAGACATCAGGGTCCCAAATCCTGCCTTCCTGCAGAAACTATGTCCTATCTCCTGTGTGATCTTCACTCCTTTGTCCTGTTGGGAGGTGTACCTCCTGGTAAGATGGGTCCTTTAGCAGCAGGGTCTTTTATTAGTATTTCTGAGCAGACAGGGGTCAGAGGCTGTTGAAACTTCCTAGGTATTTGAAGTCTCCAGGTCAAGGTTGGCTTGGGCCACAGATTTGCCACAGACCTACCAAAAGTCTCGTCACGTCTTTGTGCTCCTTTTCAATTACCGGATTCAGCAGGAGATAACGCTGGGCTCTCAAACTCAGAAAGTGTGTGATTTCTCCTCAAGGAAGACAAAAAGTGTGTGTTTTTCTTTCATGACTAACAGCACCGTTGATGCAAGGGGTCTGAAGTGTAAATTGGACGGTTCATAATCATTGAACCCTTTTACGTGTTCACAGTGTGATAGCATTAACTCTGTATTGAAACAGACGATAGAGGCTTGTAGTTTTGAAGAACACAGAGGAAACACCAAGAGCCTTCAAGCATCTTGGGTTCTTGCTTGTAGGTGGAAGGAAGCGTGTCGTCCATAAGCATAGCTTGCCTAGCATGCCTAGAATGTTGTCGATACTGGAAAGTATTTCTTTTTTTTTTTTTTTTTTTTTTTGGTTTTTCGAGACAGGGTTTCTCTGTAGCTTTGGAGGCTGTCCTGGAACTCACTTTGTAGACCAGGCTGGCCTCGAACACACAGAGATCCGCCTGCCTCTGCCTCCCGAGTGCTGGGATTAAAGGCGTGCGCCACCAACGCCCGGCCTCTGGAAAGTATTTCTTGTGTGGCCCAGCTTACATCAGCAGCCAACCCTGGTATGCTTAACAGGCTGAAATTCAATGCTCCCCTCCCTCCCAAAAAAAAATCTTGATTTCTTTTGCTTCTTTGTTCCCACTTCTTGAACTTCACCTTAGAAAGCCACTTGCTCTTGGGGACTAGAGTCACCAGTAACTCCAGCTGTGTGGGGAGCTGTGCCTCAGGTATCCACAGGCATCCCTACGTACCATAGGCACGTGGTCGTATACCAACACAGATGCACACGCATAATTAAGATAACACAAAACTTGCTCCTCAACCAAGGAGTCACCGGACTTTAGGCAACTGTCCTCTGTCTCCCCCAGCTTTGCAACAAAATAAAAAAATAGTTTTACTACACAGGACATTTGCTTTAATATGGTCTGATTACATGAGGCAAAGTTCCAAATAATAATTATGAGAATCTGGCCTATGAGGACGCTAAAGCTGACCTTGTCTGCATCTTGGGCCATTAGCCGATAAATGATACTTACCCGTGTTAATCCCACCATACGAGAACAAGACCGCTACCACAAGTTTTGAGCCAAATTTGATGCAAGCTTGATTTTTATTGGGGTACATCCAGGATCTGAGCGGCGACTGCCTCCTAGCTCATGTTAAAGAATAGTCCCGACACCACCTCTTCAGCCCCTTTCAAGGAGTTAAATCAGCAGTAGTGGCAAAGCAGGGTTGCAGAAGCAAGCTAAAAAAGCAGGTGGAAGGACAGAAAAATCTCAAGAGAACAACACCCGTCACCATGTGGTCACCATGTGACTAGGAAAGGTTGGGGTGACTGGGGAGGGTCAGGGTGCTCGCAGAAGCGGGCCAGGGACATGGGTTGAGGAGGGCGGGTTCCAGGGAGCAGAGACTTAGAAATGGAAACTCAGCTCTTACAGTACATGGAAACCTGTTTTTAACAATAAAGCATGAAGCCAAGCAGGTTCCTCACCTACAGTGACAGCTCAGTATGACTCAGAAAACACCTGTGGAGCAGCAACTACCAGACCCTACCCTGGGATCTTCTGAACGGTTTATTAGATGCAAGTGTTTCACATGGGTCTGTCCGCCTCCACAACCACTTTAGCGTTCGTCTAAAAGCCTCCCCACACGTTTGGTTGCCACCTCACCTGTGGCCAGATTGTGACCTCCTATTGTGACAAATAGCCAAGTCTGAGCCAATCACAGGCAGCTAGCCGTGCAAGCCCTGTTCAAACACGACAGACATGAAGGGTAAGCAACCGGGCTCGGTTTATAATCGCACGCCTTCATTCCCGTAGCTGCCTCCTTGTGTGACCGCGTCTCTGTGCTGAAATGCACGGCTGAGCACACAGTAAAGGAGGCAAGCCTCATTTTGACCCGTGGGAAGACTAAAACAGAGACAGGACAGGAAGTGGAGCCATGCTCTAAACTTCAAGGACTGCCCAGCAAGCCACTTCCTCCAGCTAGTCCCTGTCTCCTGCTGGTTCCAAACATCTGAAAACAATGTTGCCAGATGGGAATCAGCTGTTCAAAAGCATGAGCCTGTGGGCAACACTTTTCATTCAACCGTAACATTCCCGTTTGATTCGGTTTGGTTTTCATGGTGATGGGGTCTCACGGATTCTAGGTTGGCCCCCAGACTTGCTCAGTAGCTAATGATAACTTTTAATGTTTCTCTCTCTCTCTCTCTCTCTCTCTCTCTCTCTCTCTCTCTCTCTCTCTCTCTCTCTCTCTCTCTCTCTCTCTCTCTCCTCTCTCTTCCCCTCGTGTGTGTGTGTGTGTGTGTGTGTGTGTGTGTGTCTTTTGAATATTGATTTGCTATTACGTTGAGATACATCCTTTCTTTAATATTTTTATCAGGAAGACATTGAATTTCTTTCTCTCTTTTTTTTTTTTTTTGGCAGTCGGCCAGAGCACATGCCTTTAATCCCAGCACTCAGAAGGCAGAGACAGGCAGATTCCTATGAGTTTGAGGCCATCCTGGTCTACAGAATGAGTTCCAGGACAACACAGAGAAACCCTGTCTCAAAAAACCAAACTAAACAAACAAAAACAAATTTTAGACAGGATCTTGCTATGTAGCTCTGACTGTCCTGGAACTCACAAAGTAGACCAGGCTGGCCTCGAACTCACAGAAATGTGCCTGTGTCAACCAGTGCTGGGATTAAAGGTGTGCGCCACCATGCCCAAAGATACCGACCTTTTCCAAATGCCTTTCCTGTGTATCACACGGTTTCTGTCTACATTAACTGGGGAGCTTCACGCTTTGTGGCAATGTCCCAGTGGCCTGTTTAGCTGGTCACACTGCATCATCAGGAAGCACAGACAGATGGGTGGGTGTCTCCAGCTCATTTTCTCCATCTTGTGCATTCCGGGGTTCAAACCCATAGAAGGGTACAGTCCACACCCAGATGAGTGCAGCGCATTGGGGACAGACGGTCTGGGGACGGTATGTAGGAGACTGGGTGGGCTACCTTAGGGTACTCTGAAAGTGCCATGTAAGAAATACAGATCTTTATCCAACAAGTGGGAAGTAGAGGCCTGTTTTTCTTAATGTATAGAACACTTCAAAGTTTGCACGTCATCCTTGTGCAAGAGCCGTGCTAATCTCCATATCGTTCCAATTTCAGTATGTGTGCTGAAGGAGTTAAGTACCAAAGAAGTTATTAAAAGCAAATATGGCACAATAAAGAGATTATTTTGTCACGTTCACATGGCAGTGGAGGGCTGGGTGGCTTGAAGCGGACTGGTAAGTGTCTCAGTCACTGTTCTATTGCCGTGAAGGGACACCATGGCCCAGGCAGCTCTTAGTTTCTAAAGGGCACTTAATTGAGAGCTGGCTTACAGTTTCAGAGGGCTAGCCCATTATCATCATGGTGGGAAACATAGTAACAGGGCAGGCAGACTGGAGAAGCAGCTGGAGTTCTACATCAAAGACACACTTCCTCCAACAAGGCCCTGATGACCAAGCAGTCAAATCTATGAGGTCATTTTCACGCAATCACCCACAGGAAGCCTCTGACAGTCTACTAGGAGACCATGGTCATAAAGATCCAGCCAGGGTTTAGGAGTAGGAGGTGTAGACTACGTTTCAAGGACTGGGAGTCAAGATCTGCAGCTCGGAGGGAAGGAAGAATAAAGCTGTCCCTTTGTTGAGCCAGGATGATGACAACTCACAAGAATCCAAGGATTAGACAGAAGATGAGGACAGCTCACTCGGGTTACAGACATTTCTCTGAAAGTACACGTTAGGCTTTCTAAATGGTCAGAAATTGTGCCACGGTTCAATTTCTGGGGAAAAAAATCACGCAGACCTAGGGGAGGGAGATCATCCCTTCTCCACACTCCCCACCCTCTTGGTGACTTTGTAACTCCTCATTTTTTGGTGTGGTCTCTCTCACTGATTGGGACAGATTGGCTGCCCAGCACCCAGGTCACAGGCACAAGATGCCACGCCTAGCTTCCATGTGGATCCTGGAGACCTCAGCTCCTGTCTCACTCCCCCATTCCAAACCCCACCCAGAAGGTTAGCTGGGAACTCGAGTGGGCCCCACCTCTCTCCAGACCCCACCTTCAGAAAGCCATCGGGCAGCACCTCCCCTGGAACTGCTCAAGACCACGCCTACAGAGTGTTTAAGACCCAGGAGTGCTGTGCTTTGCTTTGTTTATTAAACCTGATCTTATTAATTCTGCTGGATTTGACTTATTGCATCAGCGGAGAAACCCACAACCGGGACATTCAACACACTCATCACTGGGACATTCAACACACTCATCACTGGGACATTCAACACACTCATCACTGGGACATTCAACACACTCATCACTGGGACATTCAACACACTCATCACTGGGACATTCAACACACTCATCACTGGGACATTCAATACACTCATCACTGGGACATTCAACACACTCATCACTGGGACATTCAACACACTCATCACTGGGACATTCAACACACTCATCACTGGGACATTCAACACACTCATCACTGGGACATTCAACACACTCATCACTGGGACATTCAATACACTCATCACTGGGACATTCAACACACATCACTGGGACATTCAACACACTCATCACTGGGATCTAAAGTCATATCCTCATACTTGCAGGGCAAGCACTTTACAAATGAAACTCTCTTAAGTCCCTTCTACTAGGTTTTTATTACAGTGTGTCCTGCCTGTACCAACAGCCCGGCACTCCATTAAAATCCCAACACTGAAGAACTTCCTCCCCTAGCCTCCTTCAGCTTTTGACTCCTCCCCGCTGCCCCCTGCCCAAGCTATTTGCCCTTTACCATAGCGAATGTTAAAAGGTCTGTGTAGGTTCTGCCTGTACGCAGCCTCTTGGAAAGGCTAGTCACTAAAAAGAAGAGAGAGTGGCAAATGTCCACACCAGGACCAACCACAGATCTAGCCAACATCTTGGCCGTAACCTAACAAATGCCAGTGCCATGCCCCAAAACCTACCCTACAGAAATTGTGCATACCTACTTCGGGATTTCTTAAGCCACCAAGTTTCTGGTAACGTGTGACCAGCAACTGAAAAGTGATAAAATGGGCTGGTAAGATGGTTTAGCAGGAAAGGCAGCTGCTGCCAAGCCAAACCTGACGACCAGACTTTGATGCCCAGTACCCACATGATGGGAGGAGAGCGCAATTCATAGAAACCATCCTCTGAACTCCAAACGTTTGCAGTGGTACGTGTGCGAGCACACCCACAGACAGAAACACACACTTTATAGTGTTTTTATCCCCTCTCTGTTTTTTTTGTTGTTGTTGTTGTTTTGTTTTGATTGGCTCTTTAACCTGAGAGAAGGATCCAGAACTAGCTGCAGTGGTCAAGGTTCTATCACCAGAGTCTCCCCAGTGTTACAGGAACAGAGGCTGATTGTGACACGTGTGATAGCCAAGGCAGTGAACTTCAGAGGATTTGACAAAGAGTCCCGAACAATCTTCTGTAAGAACTGGCATACGGGGCTGTTACAGCTTACTGGGAAGTCTAAGAAGTCAGTAATGCCTGGGCTCCTGGATTCCCACAAGCTAGGCTGAGGAAAAGCTCGGTTGCCACCGGGTATTCTGTGTTCTGCCACCAAGGATCTAGCTGGGCAGGGAGGAGGAACTGCTTCTGTGTTTTAGTAAGCAGCCATTCAGTTAGGAAGTTGAGCCAGACCCAACATAGAGGAAAACAGGATGCTGGATGGTGGTGGAGCATGCCTTTAATCCCAGCACTCAGGAGGCAGAGGCAGGCAGATCTCTGAGTTCAAGGCCAGCCTGGTCTATGGAGCAAGTTCCAGGACAGCCAGGGCCACACAAAGAAACTCTGTCTCAGAAGAAGAAGAAAAGGAGGAGAGGAGCAGGAGAAAGATCCCTGGCCTACTATACCCAGAACCATGCAGAGAATATAACTCTCTTGTTTTGTTTTTTTATGTTCACTGATGTTTGGCCTGCATATATGTCTGTGTGAGGGTGTCAGAGCCACTAGAACTGGACTTACAGTTGTCAGCTGCCATGTAGGTGCTAGGAATTGAACCCAGGTCCTCTGGAAGAGCAGCCAGTGCTCTTAACTACTGAGCCGTTTCTTTAGCCCTGGGTAAATTTCTTATCTACAGAAAACTGTGGGATCACTCTCCAGTAAATTTAGCTTAGCACAGTTCCATATTTCATCCCAGCAGTAATATTGACGCTACTTTAGAATCAAGAGCTTTCCATCAGAAGGAAAAGTCAGGAGAAATAGAACATCGTCTTGGAAGTTCGCATTTTTCTCTTAAATTTTAATTATCACCATGACTAACAAGTACTGAGCTTGCTGGTATAAGTCATTATGCCAGACTAATGGATAGAATTAGGTTTGCCTGATGCGGCCCAGTCTTTTAAAATCTGGTTCATTGGGTAGAATATAGACATGAAATATAAACAACCATCTATGATAGCCTATTCTGGTCACTGAATAGGAGGAGGAGTGACAAGTTAAAGATGAAGATTTTATATAGCATTTATTCCTTTATTTACTCACTTGATTGATATTGACTTGGGAATCATGTTCAATGCTTGAAGAATAAAGGAGAGGTATAGAGCCTGGACAAGACAGAGAAACCCATGAGGAACAGTACCCTGCACCAGCATAGTGCAATCAAATGTGCAGCATATTCTTATGTCTACTAGCTACTGTCTGGAGTATGTCTTACCTACTAAACACTGCAAAAATCCTAAATGGAATAAAAGGCACTCTCTGGTCGCTGTTTAAGAAGACTAACAGAACGTCCCAGGCCTTTATAGGAATAAAGAGCTACACTGCGCTGTTGAGCAGCAAGGAGGACGTGCAAGCTGCACACACAGCGTCGGCACAGGCATTGGCACAAGCGGGTCACAATGGAGGGTTCTAGAACGTTGTCTCTCCATCCAGCTCTGGACACATGACGCTGTGCTCTGGGGAAGGAGGTGAGCTCCGGCCACTGCGCAACACTTAGGGAAGTGCTGAGAGACTTGGGGAGACTCAGTCCAGCCCACAGTCGGGCAAAGAGGCCCCTTCCCTAAGATGTCATTTTTCACATCAGCTCATTGTCCCACCCCATGCCATTCACACCCTGTTGCTAGGCTGCGTGAGGGAGGGTTACTGTCCTCAACCAAGGAAAAATACCTGATGTCTTCTCAGAAAAGTAGGAGACAGGCACAAAATGAGATGAGGTGATAGACCAAGACGGTTTAAGCAAGTACATAGAAGGTCGGACATTCTAAGCAAGAGATGTCACAGCTAAAGACTAAGGATGCTTGGTTCCCTGTAGCAATTTTAGTGCTTAGCACAGTGCTCATCAGAAGCTCATACTCAGTAAAGGCTGATTTTGGTTTTCCCAGACAGGGTTTGCCAGCTGTCTTGGAACTCACTCTGTAGACCAGGCTGGCTTCGAACTCACAGAGATCCACCTGCCTCTGCCTCTCAAGTTTTGGAACTAAAGGTGTGTGCCACCGTGGCCCTGCTCCAGTAAAGGCTTATTGGGTGGTTGAAACATTTAGAAAACCTGCATGGCCAGTCCATTTCAAAGTTGGTGCTTAGAAGAAGCCACGGTGGTTTTAGAAGTGTTGAAAGCCACAAGACAAAATGACAACAATTTTACCAGGTTTTCTGATGGATAAACTATTTAAAAATTTATTCATACATATAATCTTAGCCATTATGAGTGTGTCTGTGTGTATTTGTAAATCGTCCATTTCTAGTTAGGTCTTCAAATGTGGGGTTTTAAAAGCCAGATATGAGTGTGCTTCTACAATCTCGCCGTCCTGGGCCAGAGTGTAGCAACTCAAGTTGGGTGCCATCCTGGGCTGTACAATGAGAACATGCCTCTAAATTGTTTTTGAAGACGGGATATACATCTTTGTGCTGTACTAAGACTCTGGGAGATGCATGTTGACTCTTTACCATGAGAGATTTTACGATGGGAAAGCTTGTAAAGTGTGACTAGAGGGTTCCACTGAGCAAAAATAAAGGGAAAAGGGACAAAATTGGAGCTGAAATATAAGCTATAAGATTACCGGTGTTTTCCTGAAGAAGCAGCAGCCAGGAATCTCTTGATTTAAATCAATAGTAGAGTGGAATATGTGATCCTTACAATAAACACAGTATTATATACAACACATTTATAATCAATAACAAGAATGTTAGTATTAAATGTATAACTTTCTACCAACAGGCTTCCACAGCAAGAAAATGTAAAGCTTTATCAACTATTGTTTATCTTTTGATATATATCAGTGATGTCTGTGTGTGATCTGTGCTCCTGTGTCTGGGTACACGTGTGTAGATGTGCCGGTCTGTGTGTGATCTGTGTGTATCTGGGTGTGTACAGGTCAGAGTACAGCCTTAGTGACAAAATTTGTCATCCACCTTTTAAAAGAAGTTTTTAGTGTGTTCACATGTGTGTGTGTTTGTGTGTGTGGCACCATGCCCAAGGAGAACACAAGAGGCCATTGGGTGCCCTGGATCTGGGGTTACAGACCATCAAACCCGTCTGCCTTGAGTGCTGGCACCCGAACTTGCTCCTCTGAAAGAACAGTACTTGCTCTTAACTACTGCCCCATCCCTCCAGTCCCACATCCACTGTGCTAAGGAAGAGCTTCTTGGTCTGAGTATCCTGAATGCCTGGCTACCCGGTCCCCAGGCTCCTGGAGATCCTCCTGTCTGTCTCTCGTATCAACCATCAGAGCTCCGGGATTACAGGCCACCACATTCATCTATAAGTATTATTAAATGCTTAGGATCATATATAAATCAAGAGAACAAGAAACTAACTGATTCAGTGCAATCTTTGGAAACTTATATGGTCCAGGAAGTTCAAACACTCAGAGAAACAATGCTGAATAGATCGCAGGCCATAGAAGACTTCAATCTGATACACCAGAAGCAGAGGCACAAGTAATAGGGCCTGAAGGAGATTAATATCACCTACACCTTTCAGACACCAGGAAGACCTACCTAAGGTCATTATGCCTTCTCCCAGGCTCTTCTCTATGACCCGACCAGCCGCAAGAGACAGCAAGCCTGTCCAGACCCCAGACTAAATCCCACACTCTTACACACCTGTGACCATGCCCAAATGGGCATGTTCAGCGCCACAGGTGCGTAGTTAGATCTCTCACTACAATGTATGTTTGGGGATCTGAACTCAGGTCCTCATATTTGCACAGCAAGCCCTTTACCCTCTACCTGCTGAGCTATCTACCCAGCCCTGACAAATTATTTTGTAATGAAAAACAAAAGCTGTTCCAGCTGTAAGACACACACACACACACACACACACACACACACAAATTAAAATTTCCCAACCTTCAAATAATCTGAATAAGAAAAAATACAGTCTCTTCCTAAAGTTGAAATTCTCTAAACCCTGAATAAAGACAGCATATAAATAATGCAATGTGTAATAATATAACAAGAGCTCATTATTAGAACTATTAGAGGTAAACTATTATTGGAAAGAAACTAGGCCATCGGGCTTTCTTGGGTATTACTTCTTGCACAAGTGTCTACTAATTATCAAGGTTAAAAATTGCTCTCTCTGCCTTGCTTCCTTCACTCTGTCCATAGAAACACACACCACACAGATACGACTCTCACAGCCAATGCAGTTGGCTCAGTGTTACTGTAAACTTCAGATCTGGGCATTGTCACCCATTTGCTCTTTCCAGAGACACACAGCCCTGATTTCAGGACACCTGTCACATTGTATCATGCTTTCCTAAAATGCCGATGGCAGCGCAGCTGAAAATTCAAATGGAATGAATTTGAATGGGCCAGCAGCACCCTGCCAGTGATGTTCAACTGATTTTTTGAGGCCGACATTTCTATGCGAGGTGGCCAACTATGCGAAGCTGAGTCTATACCGTGGAGCCAAGGTGCTCTTGTCAGTGTCCATGGCCATTCAGTTCAACGAAACCTTGGTGATAAGAATCGAATGTGAAGACGGCTGAAATAATTGGGTCAAGTCTGCATCCAGTTGGTTCAGTGGCCACACGCAAATGAGGGCATATTAAAAAAATTGTAACAGACTGTAATTTCTCTGGATAAAATGGGAATGAGGATGGTAGTGCATCTACCTATTTCAGAAGACACTAGCAAGTAAAATGTAAATCAATGATATTTATTAAGTGTGGAATAAAAGTAAACAACACGGTGTAGTAGAAATGTAGGCAGAATTCAGCCCCAACACCTGATTTCTAGTTCATTCCTTCTCGTAGTAGCAGTTTTAAAGAAGTTAGCCAGTAAGGAAAGCAGTGGGGAGCCGGAATACTTTAGGTTAAGGATTACTTCTAATACGCTTGGCTTTGCTGTGCTGCGTTGGGTTCCTTCCACTTAACATGCCAAACCCATCCTCTCCCCTGCTCTGCCATGCTCCGGGTCTCTGGTTTCCGCTAAATCTCACCAGCAGAGAGCAGGAAGGAGCGGAACAGACTGGACAAAGGCCGGCTTCCACTCAGCCGATGGGTGTGTCCGTGCAAACACTGTTCAGATGTTTCGTGCAAAGCCTGTCTCCAGATGGCCTCGCACACAGCCTGTCTAACTCCATATTCTAGTGACACGTTACACAGCTGTCCCAGGTGGCTTCAGGGCTCCTTGCTGACACCTTTTGTAAATAGTGCCCCCCCCGCCCCCTCCTGAACCACTCTCTATTCACTTGATTTAATTTATCATGTGTCTCCAGCTGGAACCCTGAACGAATTAGTCAGAAATCTTGTTTAGGATTGTGTGGCAAGTAATGTTCATTCAAAAAACGTTGTTCGACGGTAACAAAAAGTATGGCCGTTCCTCTTTACCCTGCCGATGGTTTCCTTGACAAGCTTCACTGTTTACAGAGCCTATGCTCGTTACACTGCTCTCCAGCTGCAGCTCCGGTCACAGGAAGTGGCCACTAACTCAGTGTGCAGGCGGTACCCGCTCCTCTTCCCTACGCTTTTCTCTGGCCCCGTTTGGGGAGACAAAAGTCAGAATTTGATGCCCAGGTTAACAACACATGAAAAACCACTCCCATGACCGTCTCTCTCTTCCACGTCTTTAAGTTCTTTCCCTTGGGGCTGGGGAGACGGTAGTTAACAGCACCGGCTGCTCCCAGAAGCCACGTGGCAGCATTCATGGTTCCAGCTCCAGGGAGTCCTACGCCCTCTTCTGTCCTCCATGGGCAGCAGGCACACACGTGAGGCAGACATTCCTGCAAACAGCACGCCCGCACACGTTAAAAAAATACAATAGATCCTTTCCTCTATGTTACGTGAGGGATGGCAGGGCTTGGAACTTTCAGCGCAGAGCCACCATTCAGCCATCACGGTTCTCTGGAGCATAGTAAGAGAGAGCTGGGGGCCTGATAGTTTTCACGTTGCTGTGACCACAAAGCCTGAAAGAATTGACTTGGGGAAGATAGACTTACTTTGTCCATGGTTTCCGGGGGTTTCCACCCATCAGGACACATGGTCTGACAGCTTAGTGGATGGCACTAGAAGTATGTTTGGAGACACCAGAGTGCAGGGCGGGAGCCAGCAGCAGATGCACCCTCCAAAGGCCCTGGCTATGACCTGCTTCCGCCAGGGAGGCTCTGCAGGCTCCCAAAAAACAGCACCACCAGCTCGGGGACAAACATTCACATCTGGCATTTCAGATCCAAACCACGACAGAGGTTTGAATACATACACCAGAAATGAAACACTTTAGTCATTCACCTGAGAGAGAGCCCATGGCCTGAACCACAGGGCGCATGGAAGTGCAATCTCTCCAGGAAGGGATGGAACATTTGGGGACACTGCACCCATGCAAGCTCGGGCTGCACAGATATGAAGAGTCACGGCGTCACAGATAGTCATGCATCCATCCTGGGGGGAGTGCAGAGTTCCCAAGGCGTTCCACCTGGAGGACCAGAACAGCCGTCTCTTCAGCTGTCCCTTCTCTTCCAACTTGGACGTAAAATGCCTGTAGTGACTGATATTTTAAGTTGCTGTGTCTCTGAATCTGTATCAACTGCCGACAAGCCACAAGCCGACATATTTGCTTGTGTGCTTCGGCAGCACACACACTAAAATTGGAACGATACAGAAAATATTAGCACGGCACCTGTGCAAGTATGACATGCAAATTCACGAAGTGTTCCATACTTAAAAAAAAAAGAGTACTTTCTGTCCCTGCCAGGTCTGTCTAATTACAGCTTCTGTTTTAATGTTTTAATGTTACAATAGCTGGTTTATGATGGGTGTTTCAGGCTGCCTAGTCACTTACTGTACCCAAGTGTGATGTTTCATTTCCTTTTAGAGACAGGGTTTCTCTGTGGCTTTGGAGGCTGTCCTGGAACTGGGTCTTGTAGACCAGGCTGGTCTCGAACTCACAGAGATCCGCCTGCCTCTGCCTCCGGAGTGCTGGGATTAAAGGCGTGCGCCACCACCACCCGGCTTGTGATGTTTCGTTTCTATCAGGACTGGGCAGGGAGCTAAGAACAGCTTTTCAAATGAGGAATAGTGACAGTGTGGGCTTCTTCCAAAGCCACCAGAGTTTCCAAGCATCACCTTCGCTGCACATCTGGTGATGTTGGATGGCTGGCTCAGACGCTGCCCTCTGCCCTTTTTTCAGGGCTCACTGAAAGCAGAGTGAGTATTATGGGTTTTCATAGGTTGGTCCAGTGTGCCCAAATGTGGTCTATGTTCTCATCAGAACCCTAAGAGACTTGTCACAAGCTATGTTTCTTCTTGGTGGATTGTGGGAGGCGCTAACACCTGCCCTTCTCCATAGAGAAGATTTCCAGTGTACCCAGGCCCCTCAACTCCTTGAAACATCAAAGAGGTAGGGCCCTGAAGTTCATTAGGATTCATTGCTTATCATCTTTAATTTTATTATTATTATTCTAATTTTGTTGGTTATGTGCACAAGAGGGCAGCTGCCCACAGAGTCCAGACGAGCTAGCTGGATCTTCTTAGCTGGCATTACAGGCAGCGTGAGCTAACATGGGCACTGGAAACTGAAATCTATCCTCTGCGAGAACATGTACTCCTTTTCTTTTTAGTTTATGGAGCACTGGTGTTTTCCCTGCATGTGTGAGGATGCCAGGTACCCTGGGACTGGAGTCACAGACAGCTGTGTGAGCTGCCATGTGGGTGCTGGGAATTGAACCCGGGTCCTCTGGAAGAACAGTCAGTGGTCTTAACTGCTGAGCCGTCTCTCCAGCATGCACTCTTAACCACTGAGTCATCTCCCAGGCCCGACAGTCTTTTACTGGCCAAACAGGACTCTCCAAGCAGATGCAGGCATTATTGCCCTGCCTGCTTGCAGGCGGTCACAGCAGCAACAATTACTGTAAGACAGATATTTCAGGACTGTCTAACTAATCTGCTCAAGGTGTGATATGCAGGCACTGCTTACATTAGCAGTACCAGTGAAGATGGACATTCTGCTCCTTCCCCGAGTTACACGCCAGGAACAGCATGGTGGGTTTTGTAGTCTTTGGCTTCTGCAGCTGGCCAGTGTCAAACCCATGCACCTCCCTGTGCTGGTGGTCCAGGCTGCTGGAGCACTGGCTCTCGGGATTTCTTCTAGCTTATGGTCTCTCTCAGTGAGGGCAAGCTCGGAGTCTCTCCCAGGAAGCTTCAGCCCAGCGAGGTTCCAGTCTCTCAGGCTTGCTGCAAGGCCATCTTTGGGAATTAGCAGTGTCCAGTCACAGGGTACACTGGAATCCCTCATGAGACTTGTCTTTATTTGGCCATCTTTTCCAGTCTCACCCTTAATCTGGCTGGGTCGAGTGAGAGCCTGCAGAGTAGGGAGAGGCATCAGCAGGGGACTCTAAGAAAGAAGCATGTCGCCTGCTCTACAGATCGAGTTCCAGGACAGGCTCCAAAACAACACAGAGAAACCCTGTCTCAAAAAAAAAAAAAAAAAAAAAACAAAAGAAAGAGAGAAAGAAAGAAAGAAAGAGAGAAAGAAAGAAGCATATCTCACCAGACTACTTCCTCCTCCATAGTTCCTGAATGTTCTTGTTTGTACCCATGTTGGCTTGTTTATCTCATGGCCACCACCAAACAGAGGGGAAGGAGCCTTTCCCCACAGCCCCTTATGAGTTATATTGCTTATAATTTACTACCTGATGTGTTATGTGGAAGGAGTTTTAAAGGCCCCAGGACATGGTCATTCCTTTCATAATAACCCTTCCTCTTTTCAGCAGGACCGTGAGTTGCTGTGTTTTTCCATCTAGGGAGAAAAAGAAAACTCTACCCACCCCATGCCCTTTACCTATGTCCCTGCTCTTATCCCATCTGCTATAAAAGCGATGTCTTTAGACCCTTGCCTTCTTGGCAGTGAGCCTAGCCTTTAATGGCTGAGCCCTCTCTCCAGCCCCAGACACGGCCCAGCGAATGCACAGGGCACAGAGCCTGGATGATGACGCATCATGGATTCAGTGCTCACAGAGGCATAGAAGCTGCTTCCCAGCCACGTTTTTGAATGTCACTAGGTATGGTAGACAGAACAATGAATCTCCAAAGATTTCTGCATGTGTGATTATGTTATCTTCCAGTACAAAAGAGATTCTGCAGGTTTATCCGGAACCTCAAGATGTGAGACATGATTCAGGGAATAAAGGTGCGTGCCACGAAGCTTCAGTCTGATCCTTGGGACCCACATAGTGGAAGGAGAGAACCAATTCTACCAAGTTGTCCTCTGGCTTCTACCAATGTACTGTGGTACCTGGACGGACACACACACACACACACACACACACACACACACACACACACACACCATGTCAGATGTGGTGGCACACACTTTTAATCGCAGCACTCAGGAGGTAGAGGCAGGTAGATCTCCATGAGTCCAAGGGCAATCTGGTCTATGTGATGAGTTCCAATACAGCCAGGATTTCAATAGTGAAACCCCGTCTCCAAAAAAAAAAAACATGTAAGATGGAGGTTTAAGTTTCTCCTGTAGTTGGCTTCAAAGGTAAAGGAAACAGATCAATAGTAAGGCATGGCCGGGTGGTGGTGGCGCACACCTTTAATCCCAGCACTCGGGAGGCAGAGGCAGGCGGATCTCTGCGAGTTCAAGGCCGGGCTGGACCGACAGCCTCCAAAACAATACAGAGAAACTCTGTCTCGTAAAACCAAAATAATAATAATAATAATAATAATAATAATAATAATAAGGCATGCGTGCATTCTCTAAAAACTTTGAACTGCTTGCAGCTGCTATCTAGAAAGGAAATGGGCACCACATTTACCTGGGTTCTAACAATGACTCCAGTGAACAAGAAAAAGAACCCTCCCCGGAGCCTCCAGAGAATAGCATAGTCTTATACACCTCTTGTTTTCAGTCCTCTGAGAAACACAGACCCCAGATTTCTGACTTCTGCAACAAGGAAATAAAATGAACAAATATTTAAGTCTATGATTTTTGTTATGATAGAAAAAAAAACAATTACAAGCAAGCAAGGCACTGTTTCCCCCAAGTCTCTCTTCCTGGGCACATCTCTGGGACTATGGGGACATTGAAAGCTCTGCCCCAAAATGATCGCCTGATTCTTACCCTGACCAAGAGTGATTCTGGAAAATGACCAAGCTGGAAAGGAAGACACAAGCCAATGTTCTCTTTTCCTCTTTTTCCAGGTAAGGAAAATGGAAAATACACAACAGAACGTATGCTGTAGGAGATATTAAATTGTTTCTTCATGACTGCAACAAAATCTTGGTACAAAAAAAAAAACACCTTAAATGTGGAGGGTTGTAGTGGCATCTTGTTTCACCCATGAACTTGCTGTGGTGGCTGTATCCTAGGAGTGTAGCTTCAGGTATGCAGGCATCACCCCTCATAAGGAAGAGGAGGGGTTGGCTCGTCCCCTAGGCGGTAGCTGGAGATCCGGAAGGGCAGAGACTATCTTCAGGAACAGGAAGACTGAGGCAGTAACCATTAATTGTGTAAGTGCTTCCCTAATAAATACCTGTTTATCATTTATCTGGGTCTTGTGGACTCCTTTAAACCTGCCTTCAGAGAGACTTTGGCTCACAGTTTCAGAGGGTTTGGTCCATGGCTGCTGGACTCTATGCACTTGGGAAAGAACAAGAAGCAGAAGGAAGAACTACAAACTTGGAAGCAGTGTAACCCTCAAGGCACGTCCACAAGAGCCCTACTTCCTGTTGGGAATCTCAGCTCTGGTTTCACTCTTCCCATTCTGGACCCTGCCCCTCAGAAAGACCAAGGGTCAGCTCCTCCCCCAACCCGATCAAGGCCACACCTACAGGGTACTGAAGACCGTGGGTCTGCCACCTGCCCTCTCTCCTGCCTTCCTGAGTGTCGCCGGGTAGTGCTCTACTCTGCCGTGCTCTGCCCTGGTCTTATTAATTCGGTTTGATTTGGCTTATTGCATCCGTAGAGAAACCCAATAACTGAGGGTCCAGTGCCTAGCACTTCCGCCAGCTGGGTCCCGCTTCCTAAGGCTCCATAACTTCCCAAAATGGCACTGCCAGCTAGGGGCCGCTTATTCATTCGCATTTCATACAGAGACAAGAACAAGCAGACTACACAGAGAAACCCTGTCTCCAAAACGAAACAAACAAACAAAAACAAAACAGAAAAAGGGAGGAGGAGGTAGAGGAGTCAAATTCAACCCTGATCTACAGAGGGAGGATATTACATAAACAGGCACTGTTTGCAGGAGCCGAGCCTGATAGACTCCATTCAGAGCATGGCCAGCAGGGAGCACTCCATCCTAAAGCAGGACACGTGCACACACTTAGGACGGGTACTCACGTGTTTTCATAAGGGCACTCAACAGCCCAGCACGTGTGAAGAAAGTAAAAACAGAACCTCCACCTTCAAAGAGCGTTCTCATAGTTGAAGACAAAACTCATTCTTCACATAACACAAAACCCTCCCTCTAATCCTTTTGTGAAAGCAAAAGCTGTTTTAAGTTTGAAGTACTATGCCTAAGAGATCCATGAAACAAAAATGCCTCTGCTCTGCAAGCCCCCTGCCCGGACAAATGCTTCCTGAAGTGCTGGAGGCTATTATTTAAGGGAGATAACAAGCCATATGTTTTCACTCCCCTAAAACAAGTCTGTTTGACCCAACTATGCCAGAAGTGCTTGATCACATGTGGGCGGGAAGTAGGCAGACAGGAAGTACATCAGGATATATGCCTGCCCCTGATTGGACCTGATGAAAATTATGTGACCTTATGGGTTTGCCTTTGTAAGCTTCTGCAAAATGTGACTCCTGGCCATATTCTGGGAATCAGGGAATGGACCTCACCAGAGTCCATCATGTTAGTGAGTATTGAATTAAAGCTTGCTTCAAATTTGGGTCAATATTGTGGTAGTGGTCTTATTCTCATGAGGCAGGTTAACATCTCCCTTTGGACAGATCAAAGGTTTCTTTGGGGATCACCACAGTTTTGGCATGTAATGCACAAATAACATTTCAGTTTTATTTAAAATCATTACAACCCTCCAGAATTTGAGGCAGGAGAATAGCAAAGCTCAGGGCCAGCCTGAGATACAGAATGAGACCCTATCTCAACACACACACACACACACACACACAAACACACACACACACACACACACACACACACACACACACACACACACACACACAAACACACACACACACACACAAACACACACACACACACAGGCACGCATGCACGCACTCGGAGAAGGGTCATTTTCATTCCCTTTAGCCTGAATTTGGATACTCCAGAAGTGTCACTTAAATTGGTCTGAAAACAAAACACTGGTGGAAATAAATAAGAGAGCTGGGCTGGGTAGGAAGTACTCAATTGGTAGAGTAGTTGTCCAGCAAGCTTGAAGCACCAGGTTCAATCCCAGGTCTGCATGAACTGCCTTGGTGCTGCAGGCCTGCAATCCCAGCACTCCAGAGACTGAGAAGGATCACAAGTTCAAGGTCATCCTTGGATATGTAGCAAAGTTGAGGTCAGCCTAGAATACAAGAGACCCAGAAAGAGAGAGGGAGGAGGGAAAGAGGAGGGGAAGGGAGGGGAGGGGACAGGAGCAGAAAGGAAGGGAAGGGAAGGGAAGGAAGCTTCCCTACCAGATAATTAGAAGCTCATCCAGTAAGCACTGATTTTACACAGGGTAATTTATTACCACATAGTTTGTTTACACCCTCCCAGTATTCCGTCCTTAGCTAGCCACCTTCATTACTGAAATCTACTGGGCAGCAGAAGGCACTTTGTCAGCTGTTGAGTGTGTGTGTGTGTGTGTGTGTGTGTGTGTGTGTGTGTGTGTGTAAACTAGAGAATGCAACGAACCCAGTACCTCTTAGTAGCACAGCTTTGAGATAAGAGCAAGGGCAATTTAAATATTCATTTAAACATTTATCTCAGTGGTTTAAACAAGGAACAAACAAAACCCAGGGTAAAAGTACACGTGCTGGGGAAGTAAACCAGATTAAAAAATGGAAAAGTAAGCTTGGAACGCATAGGAAGCCATCAGAAACTATTCAGGTAAGTACTGCAAATGTGGGGATTAATCAAGAATCAAGACCAAGGAGAAGCACAAATCCAGGGCAGAAATACAGGGGGACGACCCTAGGATTACAGCGCTCAGTGTTGTGGGCCAACAGAACAAAGGCTGCTGGAACTCACAGAAGGGTTGCGATACTTTCACTTGTATTTAACATTTTTGAAGTACAGATACAGCTGCCACAGAATATACAAATGGCTACAATTAAACTATGTGGGTATGCACATTTTTCCCTCATTTTTCTTTTGAGGGCTGAAATACCTAAGAAATAGAATAATTAGATAAGTCTTTGCTATGACTGCTGGGCATAATTTACACCTTTAATACCAGCACTCAGGAGGCAGAGACAGGCAAATCTCTGTGAACTCAAGACCAACCTGGTCTACAGAACAAGCTCCAGGACAGCCAGTACAGAAATAAAACCTTCTATGTAGCTAGTGACACAGGTGAGGCCTTTTTCAGTACCTGGCTTTACAGGCCCTTGTTCTCTCTCTCTGAATTCATTGCAGAGCCCTGTAAAGTCAGCAGATCTTGCTTTAAAATCAGTGACTATCAACTTCGGGGCATGGTGACACATACTTTTAATCCTAGCACTGGGAAAGCAGAAACAGGTATGGCTATGAGTTCCAGGCCAGTGTGGTCTACAGATAGACTGTCAAGAAAGAAAGGGGGAAGGAAGGAAGGAAGGAAGGAAGGAAGGAAGGGAGGGAGGGAGGGAGGGAGGGAGGGAGGGAGGGAGGGAGGGAGGGAGGGAGGGAGGGAGGGAGGAAGGAAGGGAGGAAGAAAGGGAGGGAGGAAGGGAGGGAGAGATGGAGGAAGGAAGGAAGGAAGGAAGGGAGGGAGGAAGGAAGGGAGGAAGGAAGGAAGGACATCTTCAAAACAAAGCAGAGCCTTTACGCATGAACAAATTTAAAGGAAAAACTCACTCTTTCTAGTTTCTCTGTTGCCATGTAGAGGTTTCATCACAAGTGAATTCCAGCTCAAAAGTGTAGGCAAAGTCATTTCTGCATCTGACGCCTTTGCCTCTTCATTGCCCTGGCTTTTAGTAATGGTTCTTATGGTTCAAGAATTTTATTTAGCTTTTTCAGAGAAACTCACAGTCTAAGAAAAACATTTAATGGCTGTAGCAAAACATAAGGATGGTGCTAGATGAAAAGTTTAAACCCCCTAGTATGGCCAACATAATAAATCAGATCAGGCTGAATGAGTAAATCCAGGGTTAATATGAGCAGAGCAACTCTGGGTGACCCTTCGGAGCAATCACATGGCAAACATAGCCACCAGGTCTTATATAGCCTACAGTCATGGTCTTGAGCAGGCCCAGGGAGGGCCTGACTTTTGGTGGACTTTCTCAGGGTGGGGTTTGGAATTGCAAGCATGAGACCAGATTGTGGAAGGGGGCCCCTAGCTGGAGATCCCCAACATCCCAACATTTTGGGGTACGTATGGACAGCAGTAGGGCTTCCACCTAAACATCCCAAACTCCTTGGGTATAGGATGCCAGGGGCTGAGATGGAGTTCCCACCAGAACATCAGAGGGTTGAGATAGATTTCAGAAATTATGTTTAAAAAACTGTTTTTTCCATGAGAAAGAATGGGGAAGACAACTCAGTGTGTGTGGCTAAACATACAGAAACAACCCACGTTAGAGAGCCCAACCCAAAAAGACCGCCGGGAAGTACATAGTAATGACATTTAGTTGTAGAGCAAGAGTTTTCTCTTACTTTCTGAACTTTAGAAATTCACAAGATATTCATTAATGGTCAGGAATTTTCCCCTAACCATTTTCGTTTAGACCAAACAAAAGTTGTAGTGCCCCTTTAAGGAAAAGTTGCAAAATGGAGAGATGAAAGACTAGAAAAATGATTGTGAAAGTCTATCTTCAGGCTCTGGCTCACAGAGTGACAGGAATATGCTATTCCATCTGTGTCTCTGGGAGTCTCGGGCCCACAACATTTTGATTGATTTGCCCAAAAGTTAACTTCTGGAACCCTCCTTTAGGATCCACCAAAGCCAACCAAGTTAGCGAAACCTGCTCCGCACCTCCCTCGCCACGCCCTTCGGTAACCTAGGTTACAGTCACGCCCCTCCTCTGTAACTGACCAATCATAAAGGGCTGACGTTTCCGGACAGGGTTTGCCTCGCTTGAAGCTCACCGCAGGTCATTGGCTTGAAGCATCCAGACGGAAACGGAAGTAGACTAACATCTTGGGAAGATGAGTTCCACTAGTGTGGAAGTCCCGCAAGCGTGAGTGAGGAAGTCGCGGGCCGGGTCTTCCGGGGGGCGGAGACTCGCCTGCGGAGCAGGAGGGAGGGAGGCGGCTGGCTTCCAGCTGCAGGTTAGAACCCCCAGGTCACCCCGGCTGTCCTCGGGGCCATGGTGCAGCCGAGGCTCTAGGCGACACCTAGACGAGGCGGCGACCCCGCCGCGGCGCACCGGGTGCATGCCGGGTGGCCGGCGAGGGTGCAGCCCGCACCTGCGAGCATCTCGAGCGGCCGCCGCTGCCGCAACCACAACCACAGCGCGACCCGGGGACGCGGAGCCAGCGGCTGCTAAATTTTTCCCTATAGAGAGCCAGAGAAGAAAGCAGCCGAGGAAGAGAACGCGCCAAAATCTCGGTTTCGTCCGTTTTCTTGGCTGTCAAAAGCTAGTTCGTTTATTAACATGCCCTGCACCTGTAATCGAAGCAACTGGAGGCGATGGATCCGACCCCTGCTCGTACTTATTTATGTACTTTCCATCCTGATCTCGGTTCCGTTGTGTATTTGGGAACTTCAAAAACTGAAGGTAAGAGGGTCCAGCACCTCTGCCCTTTCTTACACTGGTTGGCAGAATCCCTTTGTCCGCCTTGGGGTCTGCAAAACATTTCGCCTTTAAACACTAAACCGACCCGTCTGATTTCATTTTGCCGCTACAAGTGGAGGCGGGACGGGTGGAGAAAATGGCTAATGTTGCTGCTTAGAATGCTTTGCCGACACCCATCGGTTCCCAGATTATTCTTGAAATCAGATCCGCTATGCAGATATTGAGCTTGACTAGACCAAATAAAACTACCTTGAGAGCTGTGTTCTGGATTTTATAGGCTGGTAGCCTGCTTCTTGAATTCCCGTTAGTTCGACTTTGCTAATTGTTTTTACGTTTGAAGTTGCATCTTTTGTTTCTCTAATGAGATAAAGTCTCATGTAGACCAGGCTGTTCTGGAACTTGCTTTGTAGTCTAGGATGCTCCTCCAACGTCCATATTCTCAGGGCTCCTGTTTATTCAACGCAGGGGATGGAACCCAGGGCTTTGTGCATTTGAGTCAAGTATTCTACCATTACCAGACTTGTAGTTACTCCTTAGTCAAAGCAAACGCTTTACAAAAGTTCCTTGTGTATTTGTTTCTTGATTTTAAAAAATGCATTTGTTGGGTGTATTCGTGGGATGGCCCAGTTGTCACAGATCAGAGGGCAGACAAGTCGGGGGAGTGGTTCTGTCCTTCCATCATGAGGCTAAGTGAGGCAGCCTCTTACCAGAGCCATCTTTCTGGGCCATGTTTTATTATTTGTTGATGTCAACATTGTGACATTAGGAAAGCATTACAAGTTGGATACCTAGAATATTTGTAATATATGTATAAAATGAACTTAGAATTGTCAATTATTAATAGCCAGAAAGTACGATTCTTTTGTCCACTAAACTTTTGTTGGCTTTTTTAAAATTATAGTCCACATAGCTATTTAAGGCTGTTATATTAAAATTTTTTTATTTGTTAACGTTTAGGTCATTTGAAATTTGTCCACCCAAATTTAGATGTAGCAATCTTAATATAAATATAATTTCCTCACTTCTTATTCCTTGAAATATAGTGTAGGAAGATAAGTGAAATGTATATGACCTTTCTTAGTTGTGACCTTCAACCCTAGTTTTAAAGTGCCGCTAAGCTTTAAGGCCAATTCTAATCTGCGGTGTAAACTGCTAACACCCACGTCAAGCCCCTCAGGTTCATTAAGGGATGCTTAATGGAGGACCTGCAGGTGAGCCTGTCAAGCACTGCACTTGGATATGAGTGTAGACCTCAGAACAGCTTAAACTGCAGACACACGTGGGGGTCTTGTTCTCTACTCCGTCATAAGAAAACACCATAAACTGGGCTGTGGAAGATGGCTCAGCAGGTAAGGCAGTAACCAGGAGAGCCTGGCCCACTGGGTTCCCTCTCTGTAGCCCACGGGAATGGTGTCTGCCGAACGATGGAAGGTGGACACAGAATTACCTGGAAGTTTGCCAGCCAGCTAGCCTGGACACGCAGCACAGCAGCAGAATTGAGAAGGACCCTGGCCTCGTGGAAGGAGAGCTGACTCCCAGACTTATCGTCTGACCTCCACACATGCACACCTGCACTCCCACGCAGAAGCACATGTCTGTGTACCGTGAACTGAGTGCCTTTAACAGGAGCTTGGTTTTTCTCGGTCTTGAAAACTGTTTTGGAGTCAGATATCACGGGGGCCAGAGGGGTTGCTGTCTGGGGAGGGTGCTGTCTCTCAGGTTGCCATGTTCTTCTGAATCCTCAGGTGGTTAACATCTCATTTTGAGATCACCAGCCCTCTGAGACTATGACCTCATTTCACCTAAATGGCTTCCCATCAGCCTTATCTGAAAATATGTCCATTCATGTTAGGGGTTGAGTTCCAGCTTCTGAAAGGGTCGGGACAGAGACAAGGGACAGCAAAGGACCTGGCACCAGTATTTCACAAAGAATCAATGAAGTGAATTCCTGGGAAGGAGGGTTTTGAGGGAAACATTTTGAATGGTGTCCACGGTTGCAACCCTGTCACTTTTACAAGTGGAAAGGTTGTTGGTAAGCTTCGTGATTTTACTGAAATTCAAAGGACCAGAACCAGAACAGAATTGTTTGAGTAGGAATGTGTGGCAGAAACTTAGGGTCAGGAGAATATATGAGTTTTGAAGATTTTGACTCTGAAGGAGCCTGAGAGATGATAACATAATAAATAGAAAGGATCAAGATTAAAGTAAGGGCTTGTTTTTGAGTTTAAGGTTAGAGGCGTTAACTAGAGCATAGCCTCAAGAGAGCTCTTATTTATTCTGTAACTAATTTTATCTAATCCTCTTAGAAAAGCAAAATACAGGAATTCCCTCTTTATGTGGATGAGGACACTGAGGCAGAGAGAGAAGTGCCCAACTTGATATTGTGCTAAGGGTGCATGACTTATTCTTAAGTAGTCCTCAGCATCATGGGTGCTGGTCCTCACCTGCAGACAGCATCATGGGTGCTGGTCCTCACCTGCAGACAGCATCATGGGTGCTGGTCCTCACAAAGAGCATCATGGGTACTGGTTCTCATTTACAAAGAGCAAGCAGGAATCACATATAGAAAGCAAGTGACTTGCTAGGAGTGGACAAAAATACCGTATAAACTGTTCGTTTTTTTGAAGAGGGAGGGTTCTTTTGTCTGACTGTCCTGGAGCTCACAGAGACCCTCCTGCCTCTTCCAAGTTGCTACCACACCTGTCACTCCAGCTCCAAAGACGCTAGAACCCTCATATACCTGAGCAGATAACCACACTCTCACATGCACATAGCCACACAGACAATAAATATAATTTTTTAAAAAGTAAATCTTTTTTTAAAAATTGCTACTAATTTTTGGGAAATACCAAGCAGTATTAGTAATCAAATGAAAATTTGAGAAATGAAAATATTGATCTTTATAGTTCTAATATCAGAATCTAAACTAATGTGTTCTTTTGTTTTTCAAGGTTGGCATACACACTAAAGCATGGTTCATTGCCGGTATATTTCTGCTGTTGACCATACCTGTCTCCCTCTGGGGGATTCTGCAACACTTGGTGCACTACACACAGCCTGAACTGCAAAAACCTATAATAAGGTCAAATGTTAATATATTTGCTATTACTAGTATTCACTGGCTTAATTCATAAACATGGTATTAAATTTTATTTTTGTTTGTTTTACTTCCCATAGAATTCTTTGGATGGTCCCGATATACAGTTTGGATTGTGTAAGTATATTTTATTGTATTGCATTAAGAATTCTTGGACTGGAGAGATGGCTTGGTGGTAAGGAGTACTTTTTGGTCTTCTAGAGGATCCAGGTTTAATTCCCAGCACCCCATTGGCAGTTCACAACTATAACTCCCGTCCCAGGGAATCTAGTTCCTGATCTCTATAGGCACCAGGCATGAACATAGCATATACACATACATGTAGGCAAGTACTCATACACACAAAATAATAAATAAATCTTTAAAAAATTCTTTTATGACCTTTTTTTTTTTTGAAACAGGGTTTCTCTGTGTGGCTCTGGCTGTCCTGGAACTCACTCTGTAGACCAGGCTGACCTTGAACTTAGAGATCTGCCTGCCTCTGCCTCCTTAATGAGTGCTGGGATTAAAGGCGTGTATCACCGCTACGTCGATTCTTTTATGACACTTAACTATGTTTACTAGGGAATGCTTAACAAGGTAATGAACACATATTGACAAAAAAAGATTAATAGTGAAATTTTCCACTTTTTTTTTTTTTTTGACAGGGTTACTTTGTATTCCTGGCTGTCCTAGAACTTGCTCTATTGACCAGGCTGGCCTCAAACTCAGAGATCTGCCTGCTTCTGCCTCCTGACTGCTGGGATTAAAGGTGTACACTACCATAGCCCAGCTTTCTCTTTCTTTCTTTCATTTATATTTACTTACTTATTTGTATTTTTGAGGCAGGGTCTCACTATATAGGTCTGGCTGTCCTAGAACTCACCAGGTTGGCCCTGATCTCACAGAGAGCCCCCTGCCTCTATCCCCCAAATGCTGGGATTAAACAACTAGCCAAGTTCACTTGTCTTTTAATTTTGGTAAGGAAGATAATTTAATGATATTTCAGATGTTTTTAGTATATAGCTTTTTTCCTTGCTCAGTTACTTAGATTTTACGATTAGTGGCTCTTAATCTTTTTGTTTTTGTTTTTTGTTTTTATTATTTAAAATTTTTTTATTTAGGTTAGAAACAATCTTGTTTCACATGTCAATCCCAGCTCCCTCTCCCCTCCTCCCCCGCCCTCCCCACCAGGACCCCCAGTCCCCCACCTACTCTCCACTCCAATCACCAGGGAGGGTGAGGCCCTCCATGGTGGATCTCCAGTAACTGTCATTTCATCCAGGGCAGGTTCTAGACCCTCCCCCAAGAGTCCCAGCTGAGAGAGCCTCCCATATTGTGGCATGAACACTCAAAGTCTGTTTGTACGCCAGGGATAAATACTACCCAAGGCCCCACAGATTTCCTAGGCCTCCTCACTGATACCCACATTCAGGGGGTCTGGGTCAGTCCCAAGCTTTCCACACAGCCATCAATCTGGAGTCCAAGAGCTCCCTCTTGTTCAGGTCAACTGTTTCTGTATGTTAAACCAGCCCACTCTTAACTCCTTTGCCCATCAGTTCTCTCTTTCTGACACTAGATTCCAGGAGTTCAGTTCAGTGTTTGTCTGTGGGTATCTGCCTCTGCTTTCATCAGTCACTGGATGAAGGTTCTGTTTCCTAGACTCTCTGGCAGTGGGATTGTATACTGGCATTCCCCTGATTCATGTCTGACATCCATAAATGAATGAGTACATACCATGTTCATCTTTTTGTGACAGGGTTACCTCACTCAGAATGGTTTCCTCTAGTGCCATCCATTTGCCTGCAAATTTCAAGATCCCCCCCCCCCCACCGCTTAATAGTACTCCATTGTGTAAATGTACCACATTTTCTCTATCCACTCTTCAGTTTAGGGGCATCTAGTTGCTTCCAGGTTCTGGCTATTACAAATAATGGCTCTTAATCTTTTTAAAGAATGTAAAATTATAAATTATCCCCATCCACATGCAGCCACAAGGGACGACTTTCCCACCCCAAGCATCAAATGTGCTGATGCTCAGTTCCCTTCTATAGAATGTGTAGCATTCACATATGGATTAGGTGCATCTCCCTGTACTCACAGCCATCTCTAGCTGGTTTACAGCACCTGATACAGTATCAGTGCTGTAGGCCGCTAAAAGGACCTCCATGAGTTTGAAGCCAGCCTGGTCTGTATAGTGAGTTCCAGAGTGCAGACCTGGGGTCAGAGTGTTTCAAATGTCTCTGCTCAAGGGTTGGCTGAACCCGTAGAAGCAGATTCTCATAGGGATGCTGATAGTTCACTATCGTGCTTCTTAGCTATTAAGTCTTATTTGTATCCCCTCCAAAAAAGGAGAAAATAAAAGGAAAAAAGACTTTTCACAGTAGATATAACCACTCTGGCTATTAGTTATAAAGAAAATTACTTTATCCAGGTGTGGTATTGCATGTCTTTAATCCCATCACTCAGGAGGAACTCTGAGTTGGAAGCCAGCCTGGTCTACATAGTGAGTTCCAGAATATCCAGGTTATATAAACTCTGTCTGACAAAAGCACCTATAAGAAAGTCTTCAGTAGCATTTTCTGTGATCAAGCCTTTTCCTTAACTCCAAATAATTTGAGAACTCTCTTTCTATGTTTATCATTTACCCCAAGCACCTCTCTTCTTTGTTTAACTGCATCAGAGATGCTTGTTGCCCTTTAAGGGTATCTTACAGGACCTGGGATGTAGCTCAGTGATAGAGCACGGCCTTGCATTGCTTAACCCTCAGCCTTCCCTGCCCTCTTCCCCAAGTCAATTCATTCTGGATTATTTTAGAGAGTTTACGTGACAGACGAAGATCTCTCAGGTTCTAAAGTTAGCTCCTGTGAATAGCATGCATTTGAATGGTAAATCACATTATTTAAGTTACAGCTCTTTAACTTCTGTGCTTTTCCATAGTGGCTGGCTTTGACATATCCCAAAATTGCCATATACGTGGATACCTGGAGGGAGTGTTATGAAGCTTACGTCATCTATAACTTTATGATATTTCTTAACAACTACCTAACCATCAGGTTCCCAAACGTGATGCTACACCTGGAAGCCAAAGATCAACAACAACACCTCCCTCCGCTGTGCTGCTGCCCACCATGGGCCATGGGAGAGTGAGTATGTGAGGGTTACTGGGCCTTTGCGTGGCCTTGAAATGGCAGTCAGCTCTGCAAGGGGCAGAGACAGGAGGCAGAGCCCTTTCTCTATATAGCACATAGAACAGTTTGAAAGATAACAGAATACATTTTTGGGGTGTTTTGTTTATTTTTGCCTTATTTTTACATTGTTCACCCCAATAGAAAAGTTCATGCAGTGTTACAGGAGAAAGCTTAGAAAATGTTTAATTAGCAGCTGTTTTATAGTTTGGAATTGGAGCCTACAGGATCTTGAGTATGGTCACATGAGCTCAGCTAGTTGACAGGAGCAACTTGGGAACACAGTTTGAGGGTACAGTCCATGATGTTGGGCGCAGCGTGTGGCAGCTGCATGATGGAATATTGCCTCTGCTGTCAGGAAGAAAGAGAGATGGCAGCTGATACTCAGCTCCCTGCCTCCTGTTGTTCGGCCAGGGCCCCAGCCTGTAGAATATGCTGCCCAGCCTTGGGTGGTTTCCCTTGTCCCAGGAAAAATCTCTGAATACATTCACAAGGAAGCTGCATCCTGAATATAATTGCTCTGTGTGTTCATGGGCATAAGCACACAGTTCAGTTGTGCCTCAGTGTCTCTCCTGGAGCTAACACTGTCAATTCTATCAGCAAAATTGCTGAGACAGTCAGGTTTATTTGGCTCACAGATTCGGATCATTTGGTCCTGTTGATTTGAGGTGTGTATCATGGCTAGAAACAGAAAAAGACCAGGGTCCTAACATCTCCTATTCCTTTTGTTCTGTGTTGCACTCTAGTGGAGCTAAAGGGAGGCTTTCAGAGGTAAAGTTATTAAATCATTTCAAAATGGTCTTCAGAGTTCCTTGTTGCCATCCACATTCTTATCCTGCTGTCATTTAGGAGAACAGTATTGGCAGAATTCACTGTAATTGGTGTCATGTGTCAAAGTGGTTTTAGTTTGGAGGCTTTGAGATGTAACAATGCCACGGAATGGTTGAGATGTTCTCTGTCTTTTGCAGAATGCTACTCTTTCGATGCAAACTAGGAGTATTGCAGTACACTGTGATTAGACCCATCACCACTGTTACAGCATTGTAAGTACGACCTTACTTTAGCTTTTTTCTTTTTTTAATCTTCATGAATCATGCCTGGGAATATAGCTCAGTTAATAAGTGTTTGCTTTGTATGCACAAAGTGTGTTTAATTCCCAGCATGACAGAAACAAAGTGTAGTGATTGATGGCAAATAATCCTAGCACTTGAAGGTAATGGCAGAAGAATTGAGAGTTTAAAGCCCAACTGGGCCTGGTCTTAAAAAAATAATCTATGGGGGCTGGAGAGATGGCTCAATGGTTAAGAGCACTGGCTGTTCTTCCAGAGGTCCCGAGTTCAGTTCCCAGCACCCACATGGCAGCTCCCAGCTGTCTGTAACTCCAGTTACAGGGGATCTGGCATCCTCACACAGATATATGCAGGCAAAACATCAATGCACATAAAAATAAAAATGAATTATTATAAAAAAAGAAAGAATTTCCCTTTAAAAAAATAATCTATGTTCTTAAATGGGAAAAGCAAGTCAAAAAAACAATGTTGATTATGATTAATGGTGTAAATGCAAAAGCTGGGTTCCATTACAATAACAGTGCAAAGAATTGCCAGGAGATTCACTTCTTCTGAGCACAAACTGTTCAATATGTCAGAAAAACAAAACCTCCTTCAGTTGGGTTAACCACACAGATTTATTTCTATCTTGTTAAGAGTTTGTTAGGAGCACTGTCCTTAATTGCTGCCACCTTTAATCCCCGCACTTGGGAGGCAGAGGCAGGCGGATCTCTCTGAGTTTGAAGCCAGTCTGGTCTACAGAGAGACCATGTCTCAAATACACACAAAAACCATTTGATATCAAAATATGAAGCATAATCAAACTACCTAGGAAACTGTTCCCTAAAAAATCCAAAATGTCAATTTATATGATTCATCCATTAGATCTCACTTAACATCCTTCAGCTCACAAAATAAAAAAAGGCCATGTTAAAATAAAGAAATAAATAAAAACACTTCAACTCTATTCTACTTTTGAGCTAGAATTATTTATGGAATTACGCTTTATTTCCTTGCTGCTTAGAAACTGTGTAAGCATATAACTTAATTCTTGTGGTAAAATTTACTTGTGGTGTGGGGTTGTCTGGGTCTTCAGATACTTAACCTGCAAGATAATTTACAGGAAAAGGTGAACTGGAGTTAATTAATGTTTATCAGTCAAGCTTTCCAAAATGAGGCCTTGTTTTGTTTTGTTTTGTTTTTTTTAAGTTAATGGTTATTCTGTAGTTTAATGGTTCTTAGTTTATAATTCCTTTAAGTTAAAGGAAATAATCATACATATGTAGAAAAGTTCTTCTCTGTCACTGAAGTCCAGTGATTTCTATCAGCAAACTGACTCTCAATTTCAAGTATTGCTGCTACTAACCCTTAAGTATGTGTTCAGGGAGAGAGGGCACTCGGTGGCTAAGAGCACTTGGTACTCTTGTGGAGGACTCGGGTTTAGCTAAATCTAGTTCCGGATATTCACCACCCTTTTCTGGCCACCAAGGGCACGGCATGCATATAGTCACAGATGTACATGCCTGTAAAACATTCATAGACATAAAATAAGTCTCTAAAGGGTACATATTAGGATATGGGTTTACTTGGTTAGTCATAAGTTGCTTTTTGCCATTTTTAAGGGTTTGTGAGATTGTTGGTGTCTACGATGAAGGGAACTTTAGTTTCTCCAACGCTTGGACTTACTTGGTTATAATAAATAATTTGTCACAACTGGTAAGTAAATCATCATTCTTTTAATTGTACTAAACTAGTTTCTAAGTATTATCAGGCACTATTACTTGAGAAAAAATACTACCTTTTAATTTGCACATGGAACTTGAAACAACTTTAATGTATGTCTTTATACAATATAGAAGTACAGTAATATGTTCATGAATGATTTGGTAATTTACATGCAGACCTGTTTGCTCTTGTTACTGCAGAGCTATGTGGGTGTAAGCATTGTGTGCCTTCTAAATAAACAAACCATAATTCAGTCGGCCTATTAGTAAGAGGAAAAAGTTTAGTTGGCATGAGAGGATAGAGTAATCAAACACAGAAGAATCTGAGCCAGGCCGTGGTGATGTACACCTTTAATCCCAGAACTCTGGAGCAGGGTTTGAGGACAGCCAAGAAGGCTACACAGAGAAACCCTGTCTTAAAAAAGGAAGGGAGGCAGGGTTTGAGGACAGCCAAGAAGGCTACACAGAGAAACCCTGTCTTAGAAAAGGGAGGGAGAAGACTGACGGTTTCTAAAAATGAGTGCTGTTCTAGGAACTGAAGGGCTCTAAAGACAGTATTTGAGCTGATGAGTATGTCATTCAAAGTTTTTAGGTAGTGCTTTCTACATTATACATGTATAATGGAGCCTGGCATAGCATTGCACACCTTTAATCCCAGAATTTGGGAGGCAGAGGCAGGCAGAACTCTTGAGATCTAGGCCAGCCTGATCTACAAATATTGAGGTCCAAGACTGCCAGGCTTACATAGAGAAGCCCTGTCTCAAAACACACACACACACACGCACACGCACACGCGCGCGCACACACACAAAACATTTATAATGTTAAATGTGTTATTCTCCAGAGCTTTCTCCTCATGTTTACCTTCATGACTGGTAGTCCTTTTTCTGGGAATGTAGTCTAAAGAAATGGTCATAAATGTTGTATTCTGGGATGTAATGCCCATTTTAAGAAAGGACTGAAAACACTCTTAACCAGGTGGGCATAATTTGGTCCTCCCACTAGCATTTAGACATATTAAAAGTAAACTTTATGAAACATACACAAAAGTTAGCTACTTTCAGTTGAAAAAGATACTGGGGACAACAGTTTATTTAGTTCATGACAGATGTTAGAAAGTTAGGTTATGACTGACGGAATATGTCTGGAGGATTTGCCTAGTACACACAGCAGTGGATATGATCCAGCATGAGGGTAACGTGGCTCGGTGCTGAATCCGTTTGTCTCTTCACAACCCTGGAGCTTGGGGACAGGGCTCCATGAGTGTGGACAAGCGCCCGTGCTGGGTCTCAACAACTTGGTTCTTCCTTTCTTGCTCTCACAGCCTGAAGTATTTTAAATGAGCACAAAGTATCTGCGGTTTTAATGGGAAAAGTAAGCTTTCAGAAATGCTTCTTGCTGTTGAAATACTGGTTATTAACTGACTAAAATCATGAGCACTTATTTTAAGAAGTAAGGGCAGCTCGAGTTACCTGCTGCTCTCAAGGAAATTTGTTGTATGATGCAGATCTCATGGTCATATTTTATTGAAGCTGCACTTATTTAATATGTTGACTTATAAACTGTGTGTGTGTTGTGTAAATGATAACAACAGACTAGCTAACAATCTGTTTTTATAAAAGTGGCAGTAATTTGTGTTTAAAAGCGTAACAAATATGTTTGCCTTTTTCTTTTGACTGAAGGGAATCTTTACCTTTTCTTCCATTCATGTCATTTGCTTATTGCTTTGAGTTCCAGTATGTGAACACTTAGAAGCATATCCAGGAAAAATGGTCACACCTCTCTTGAGAAATTGCACGTATATGCATCTGGAGCAACGTAGTAAAGCACTAGAACATTGGTTAGTTAGCGTCAAGTTCTGCCTGGAACATTACTTACTGCAGAGCGGGCTCTGGTTTCGGCTTCAACAGTCTGTCACTGTCTTCCTATTGCGGTGTTAACTGTTGCTTTTGTTTCTAGTTTGCCATGTACTGCCTCCTGCTGTTTTACAAAGTGCTAAAGGAGGAGCTCAGCCCTATACAACCTGTTGGCAAATTTCTTTGTGTCAAACTCGTAGTCTTTGTCTCGTTCTGGTAAGTATTGCTTTCTCTGAAATACTCTCATTTATAAATGCCAGTGAAATTGTTGGTTGAGGGAGTTTGTAAAATAATGTGACTGCAGTGCCAGGCTCAGTGGTGCCTGTCTGTTATCCCAGCACTTGGAAGACTGGACCGGACTTGCAGTTCAAGGCCAGCCTGAACTAGGAAGACGTCCTTGCGCTGCAGAGGCTCAGCAGTTAAGAGTTTGCAGTTAAGAGGACCGCAGTTTAGTCCCTAGCACCCATGGAGGCTCACAATCTCATGTAACTCTAGCTGGAAGGATCTGAAGCCCTCTTCTGGCTTCTATAAGCACGCGCACACACACGTGTTTTTTAAAAGTCATCCCTTTAGCTGGAAAGATCAGCAGATAGGAGCATTTGCTCCTATGCTGGAGGACCTGGGTTTTGTTCTCCACACCAAGGTTAGTGGCTCACAGCCTTCTGTAATTTCAGACCCATGTGGTTCTAATGCCCTCTACCGGTATCTGCAGGTACTGCACATGTATCATATGCATACATACAAACTCACACACATAAGAATAAATGTTAAAAATAGTTTTTAAGAAGGTTTAAGGAAAAAAACAAATAATCTTAGTCATGTGTGGTGGTACATACCTGTAATCCCAACATTCAGAGTGAGGCAAGGGAATCTCAAGTTATGAGTTTGAGGACAGCCTGCTCTTGTATAGCAATTTGTAGACTGCCTATGCCACACACATCATGTGATCTTGTATCTAAACAATCAAAGAGGTAGTCAGATGGCCACTATGACATTTAAAAGATGAAGGTAATTAGAGATGGTCTAAATATATTGATACTATCCTTCAAATTGTGGATCTGCTTGATGTTGTGGCGCACGCCTTTAATCCCAGCACTCCCTGGGGAGGCAGAAGCAGGTGGTTCTCTGTGAGTTCAAGGCTAGCACACTCTACATAGCAAGTCTGAGGCCAGTCAGAGTTACATAGTGAGACGCTGTCTCAAAAAGAATATATTTAAAAGTATGACTCTGTCATAAATAAAACAGCATCAATTTGGGAGGAAATATTTAATGATGTGGAGAAATGTTTATCAGTGAATGTCCTTTAAAACACAAGGTGGGGCTAGTGATACATCAGAGTGTCTGCAATGTGTATACAAGGCCCTACTGTCAGTCCTCAGTGTCACAAAGCAAAAAAAAAAAAAAAAAAAAAACTTGATGTGGTATTAGATTAGAAACAGAATAGGTAATAAAAGTTATATAAAAATATATCCAGTTTAGCAATTCAGTAAGGGGAAAAGAGAAAGAATTCATGAAATGATACTACCAGAATAACTATGAGCATGTGAGGCACACGTCATGTGTAGTCTTCTGTAGAAGTAACTATGAGTGTGTGAGGGTGCATGTCATATGCAGGCTTCTACAGAGTAGCTTGTGCTATAAAAACTTGTGGGACTCACACTATTATAATTCAGATAATTGTGGGCTGGCAGGCTAGCTCAGCAGGGAAAGGGAAAGGCACTTGCCATGCATACCTGCTGAACCGAGTTTGAACCCAGAGCCCTTGTAAGAGTAGAGTCCAGCTCCACGAAGCTGTCCTCCCGTGCCTGCTACACTAATCATAAGAAGTAAGGGTTAAAATAAGGGAGGGAAACAAAACTGAAGCTATCAGGGCCAGTGGAATGGATCAGCAGGAAGAGATGTTTGCCATTACCAAGCCTGGCAATGGGGGTTCCATCCAAGAGCACGCATGGTAACAGAAAGACATGACTCCTGCAGGCTGTCCTCTGACCTCCACCCAACATGTTACATGTGTGCACATACACAGCCAAAAGTAAACATTGTTTTCATCCTAGTAATTACCTGTGTATGGTGGCACATGCCTTTAATCTCAGCACTTGGGAGGCAGAGGTAGCCAGATCTCTTTGAGTTTAAGGCCAGGTGAGTCAGCATAGCAAGTTCTAGAACAACCAGGGCTACATAGAAAGACCGTGTATCTGAATGAATGGATGGACGGACAGACGGGTGATAAAATAAAATCCTCTTTACTTACAAGCTATAAGAACTTAGAATCTAATTACTTGTACATGGTTTCAAAGCAGAAAAGATATATAAACCAAATGATGAAGTTCTGAGAATACATAATGAATTCAAGGTGAGTATATGTAATACAAGCACAACTTGTTTGGGAATATGCCCTGAAGGCAGGATAGTGGGGAGTCCTGGGGTACACCGAGGCCTTACCTGTTTTTAGTCGCACATTTAAATCTTTTTTTTTGTATGAGTGGAGACATGTGCATGCCGTGTGTGCGTGTGGAGATGAGGACAACGTTGGGTTGTCCTTTCCTTTGAGACGGGCTCTCTCAATTGTTTGCTCGCACACATGTGGCTCGCTGGCCTGCAGTCCTCCCAGGATTGTCTACCCCAGCTCTCAGTTCACCACAGGAGCGCAGGGCTACAGATGTGCACTACCCAGCCTTACTGGGTTCTGTGACTCTAACCTAGGTCCTCATACTTGGGGGACAAGTGCTTTTCCCACCGAGTCACCTCCCTAGCTCCTAATTGCATGAAACAATTGGTAATTTTGATTTAGATTTGACATTTACCTTTTCTTGACATACAGGCAAGCAGTACTTATAGCTCTGTTGGTCAAGGTTGGCGTTATTTCAGAAAAGCGTACATGGGAATGGCAAAGTGCGGAAACTGTGGCCACGGGCCTGCAGGTAAGTAGGGCTGTCTGTCAGTCTCTGAGCTCAGAGGGTTTCCTGTTTGAGCTGTTTGATGCAGTGTTGCCCTGAACGTGCCATCAAGCAGACAGTGGGCAAGACTGTTAGTTTACTCTGTAGTGAGGAGCGGGACCCTGGAGAAGTAGGTACTGATTGGTAATGATTTCATGCCTGGTCCGCTTAGATCTTCATGTTCCCATTCAGTCCTTGGGTAACGGATTGAGAAATACTTGACCAAGGGAAAGCAAAAGAGATGCAAATCTTAACATGTCGAGTTTTGAAGTGGAAAGAAATATTGAAAAATGAATATAATCTGGATTATATTTTAAAAAGTTATTGACACCCTAAATAACTTTGAAAAAGTTAGCAGTTTGAAAAACTAGATAAAACCCGAAGATGTTTGGTATTTTTGTGGCTGTTGTAGGATTTCATCATCTGCATCGAAATGTTCTTTGCGGCCATCGCCCATCACTACTCCTTCTCCTATAAGCCCTACGTGCAGGAGGCTGAGGAAGGCTCGTGCTTTGACTCTTTCCTCGCTATGTGGGATGTGTCAGACATCAGAGACGACATTTCTGAACAAGTCAGACGCGTTGGTAAGTAACAACTGCTTAACTTTTGGTGTGGGTACGTCTATAGCGGGAGTGGGGTGGGGGGGGTGGACATGGGGTCAGAAATGAGCCTCGGGTGTGGTCCCTCGGGTGTGGTCCCTCAGGAGCTGTTCAGCTTAGGTTTTGGAACAGGGTCTCTCATTGCCCTGGGCTCACATACAGCTAGGATGGCTGGTCAGAGAGCCCAGGGAACCCTGTCTGTCTTACAGTACAGGCACTGCAGGCATGCCCCAGCTTTGTACCTATGCTGAAGACTGAACTCAGGGCCTCATGCTTGTGTAGCAAACACTGTACAGACTGAGGTATCACCCTGACCCAAATACATAAGAGAAGGTCATTTACTCTAGTAATTTAAGAAATAAGAAAATATTTAAAGCAATACCACGAGACAGGCTCTTCAAATTTGGGGAAGATAAAGAGGGGGAAGGGGATGGTTATAGAATTATGTTTAGAATGGTAAAAATAACTTTTGGCTAATTTATACTGTCTTCAAGGGAGGACAATGCGAGGTTATCCGAAAAAAAAACGTTTTCCTGAAGACCCAGAGCACACTGAACATACAAGCCTGCTTTCTTCAACCTCACCAGATGCAGCTTCTTCAGGTTCAAAGCCGTCTTCCCCCCTGGGCCAGTATCAGGGCTTTGGACACACGATTACCCCACAGAATGTGGCTGCTGCATCCAAGTTCTGTGACGACATCACGATTGATGTCCCAGAGGAGCAGGAGCCTTTTGATGTAGACCAATATGACGACGACGACTCGGAAGACACAGTTACATCACAGGACACATTTCCTATAATCAAATGTGAAGACACAGTTACTTCACAGGATTCACCTACAGCAAAGCTATGTGAAGATGTCATAACTGACATCCCAGAAGGGCAGGAGCCCCCTGATAAATCAATGAATTATTAAAGTTGCCACAGTCCTCTTTGTATATAGTCTACAATGCTGGAGAATTTCAGAGATAGGCAAAAACCAGATATAACTACTATATATAATATACACACACATATAATACACACATTAGTATATATATATTTGTATATGTTTTATATATTACAAATAACATTTAAATTTCCTAGCCTTTGGCTTTCTTAAACTGTTATAGTATCATAAATTCAAACAGTAACAACTTCAGCTAAACACTCTTGTATTTCTCAAGAGGATGGATATTTGAAAAAAAATCAATGCTTCTTACCACTGCATGAATGTAATGCTCTGAACTGAAAATGAAAATGTACATATAAATTCAAATTAATTTAATTTAATCATAATCATGTGCCATTTAAGTTTACATAATTATACTTAAATTACATGTCTTTCAATAAATGCAAAGCCATTTTCTGAAAGTCTTACCTGTCTTAATCTTTTAAGACTGGGTTTCTCTGTGTATCCCTGGCTGTCCCAGAACTCCCTCTGTAAACCAGGCTGGCCTTGAACTCACAGAGACCAGCATGGCTGTGCCATTGAATTCTGGGACTAAAAGCATGCACCACCACAGCCCAGCATGTCTTACTCTTTAAATATAAATTCTTAATGCTTTAACAAAAATTGTTTGATTAGAACTACAATTTTTTTATTTTGAGCCAGACTTAATAGTGTATACCTTTTTTTATTATATTTTTTTATTTCAATTTTAAATAGCTTGTTTCACATGTCAACCCAGTTCCCTCTCCTTCCCCTCCTCCCGCACCCCTCCACTATCCCCCCCAGCCTCCCATCCTATCCCCACTTCCTTCCACATAGGGGATATCTAGCGTCTATCATTTCACTCAGGGTAGGGTCCAGGCACTCCCCTAAGAGTCCAGGCTGAGAGAGCATCCCTCTTTGTGTTATGGACACACAATGTCTGTTAGTATTTGAGGGATAAACACTGATCCACTGCTCAGGACCCCATAGGTTGCCCAGGCCTCCTCACTGACTCTCACATTCAGGGGGTCTGGATCAGTCCCATGCTGGCCTCTCAGATGTCGGTCTGGGGTCCAAGAGCTCTCCCCTGTTCGGATTAGCTGTCGCTGCTGTTTTTGCCAGCCCATTCTTTGCCAATTTGCTCATCGCTCCTCTCTCTCTGTCGCTGGGTTCCTTGGGTTCTGTTCAGTGTTTAACTGTGGGTATTTGCCTCTGCTTCCATCAGTCACTGGATGAAGGCTCCAGGATGGTTATAGACATCAAGTTCATTATCAGGAATAGGCATTCGGGGTGGTCTCTACACTATCGCTTAGCTTGCCAATTGGTGTCATCCATTTAGATCACTAGAGGTCACAATGGTGCCTGATCCGTCTTCTAACCTATGATTCCCTCTTCCCCCTATTCTACCCCCCCAGTCAACCTTCCTGTTCCCCCATGACCTACTCTCTCTTCCTCTTCTCCCCTTCTTTTCTTCCCAGCTCCCACTACCCCCACACCTTGCCGTGTTCCCCATCTGTTCAGAGGATCTTGCCGCATTCCTCTTCTCTTGGGTACCATGCATATCTCTTAGGTTCTTTCCTGTTTCCCAGACTCTCTGTCATTGAAAATGCAGACTGGCACTATCCTGATCCATGTCTAAAATCCATATATGAGTGAGTACATACCATGTTTGTCTTTTTGTGACTGGGTTACCTCACTCAGGATGGTTTCTTCCAGTGCTATCCATTTACCTGCGAATTTCAAGATTCCATTGTTTTTTTCTGCTGAGTAATACTCCATTGTGTAAATGTACCACATTTTCTCTGTCCACTGTTCAATTGAGGGGCATCTAGGTTGCTTCCAGGTTCTGGCTTTTACAAATAATGCTGCTATAAACATAGTGGAGCAGATGCCCTTGTATGAATTTGCCTCTTTTGGATATATGCCTAAGAGTGGAATTGCTGGGTCTTGTGGTAGATTGATTCCCATTTTCCTGAGGAATCTCAATACTGATTTCCAAAGTGTCTGTACGAGTTGGCACTCCCACCAGTAGTGGAGGAGTGTTCCCCTCTATCCACATCCTCTCCAGCAAAATTGTCTTCGGTGTTTTTGATTTTAGCCATTCTGACAGGAGTAAGATGATATCTCAAAGTTGTTTTGATTTGCATTTCCCTGATGGCTAAGGATGTTGAACACTTTCTTAAGTATCTCTTGGCCATTTTAGCCTCCTCTATTGAGAATTCTCTGTTTAGTTCTATACTCCACCTTTTAATTGGATCCTTTGGTGTTTTGGAGACTTGCTTCTTGAGTTCTTTGTATATTTTTGAAATTAGCCCTCTGTCAGATGTGGGGTGAGTATCTTTTCCCATTCTGTAGACTGCCTTTTTGTGTTGTTGACTGTGTCCTTTGCCTTACATAAGCTTCTTAGTTTCAGGAGGTCCCATTTGTTAATTGTCGATCTCAGTGTCTGTGCCACTGATGTTATGTTCAGGAAGTGGTCTCCTGTACCAACTCCTTGAAGAGTATCTCCCACTTTCTCTTCTAAAAGTTTCAATGTGGCTAGATTTATGTTGAGATCTTTGACCCATTTGGACGTAAATTTTGTACAAGGCGATAAACATGGATCTATCTGCAGTCTTCTGCATACCAATACCCAGTTACCCCAGCGCCATTTGTTGAAGATGCTTTCTTTCTTCCATTGTATAGTTTTAGCTTCTTTGTCAAAAATCAAGTGTTCATAGGTGTGTGGGTTAAAATCAGGGTTTTCAATTGGGTTCCATTGGTCAACCTGCCTATTTTTGTGCCAATACCAAGCTGTTTTCAGGACTATAGCTCTATAATAGAGCTTGAAGTCAGGTATGGTGATGCCTCCTGAAGTTCCTTTATTGTATAGGGTTGTTTTGGCTATCCTGGGCCTTTTGTTTTTCCATATAAAGTTGATTAATGTTCTTTCCAGGTCTGTGAAGAATTGTGCCGGAATTTTGATAGGGATTGCATTGAATCTGTAGACTGCTTTTGGCAAGATTGCCATTTTTATTATGTTAATCCTACCAATCCAAGAGCATGGGAGATCTTTCAATTTTCTGGTATCCTCTTTGATTTCTTTCTTTAAAGACTCAAAGTTCTTTCAATACAGGTCTTTCACTTCCTTGGTTAACATTATCCCCAGATATTTGATGCTGTTTATGGCTATTGTAAAGGGTGAGGTTTCTCTGATTTCTTTCTCAGTCACTTCATCGTCTGTATATAATAGGGCCACTGATTTGTTTGAGTTTACTTTGTATCCTGCCACTTTGCTGAAGGTGTTTATCAGCTCTAGGAGTTCCCTTGCGGAGTTTTTTGGGTCACTTATATAAACTATCATATCATCTGCAAATAGTGAAATCTTGACTTCTTTTCCTATTTGTATCCCCTTGATCTCCTTTTGTTGTCTTATTGCTGTAGCTAGAATATCAAGTACAATATTGAAGAGATATGGAGAGAGTGAACAGCCTTGTCTTGTTCCTGATTTTAGAGGAAATGCATTGAGTTTCTCTTCATTTAGTTTGATGTTAGCTGTTGGTTTACTGTATACTGCTTTTATTATGTTCAGGTATGTTCTTGTTATCCCTGATCTCTCTAGGACCTTTATCATGAAGGGGTGCTGGATTTTGTCAATGGCTTTTTCAGCATCTAGTGAGATGATCATGTGGTTTTTCTTTCGCAGTTTGTTTATATGGTGGATTACATTGATAGATTTTCTAATATTGAACCATCCCTGCATTCCTGGGATGAAGCCTACTTGATCATGGTGGATGATTTTTCTGATGTGTTCTTGAATCTGGTTTGCTAGTATTTTATTGAGTATTTTTGCATCGATGTTCATGAGGGAAATTAGTCTATAGTTCTCTTTCTTAGTTGTGTCTTTGTGTGGCTTGGGTATCAAGGTAATTGTAGCCTCGTAAAAAGAGTTTGGCAGTGAGCCTCCTGCTTCTATTGTGTGGAATACTTTGAGGAGTATTGAAATTAGCTCTTCTTTGAATTTCTGGTAGAATTCTGCACTAAAGCCATCTGGGCCTGGGCTTTTTTTTGTTTGGGAGACTTTTGATGACTGCTTCTATTTCATTAAGGGTTATAAGTCTGTTTAGATTGTTTATCTGCTCTTGATTTAGTTTTGGCAAGTGATTATCTGTCCAGGAAATTGTCCATTTCCTTTAAATTTTCAAATTTTGTGGGGTACAGATTTTCAAAGTATGCCCTGATGATTCTCTGGATTTCCTCAGAGTCTGTTGTTATGTCCCCTTTTTCATTTCTTATTTTGTTAATTAGCATGCTCTCTCTCTGTCTTTGGTTAGTTTGGACAGAGGCTTGTCTATTTTGTTGATTTTCTCAAAGAACCAACTCTTTGTTTCATTGATTCTTCTCAATGTTTTCCTGGTTTCTACTTGATTGATTTCAGCCCTCAATTTGATTATTTCCTGGCATCTGCTCCTCCTGGGTGAGTTTGCTTCTTTTTGTTCTAGAACGTTCAGCGGTGCTATTAACTCTCTAGTATGACAGTTCTCCAGTTTCTTCATGTGAGCATTTAGTGCTATGAACTTTCCTCTCAGCACTGCTTTCAATGTGTCCCATAAGTTTGCATATGTTGTGTCTTCATTCTCATTGAATTCCAGGAAGTCTTTAATTTCTTTTTTTATTTCTTCCTTTACCCAGGGATGGTGCAATTGTACATTGTTCAATTTCCATGAGTTTGTAGGGTTTCTGCGATTTGTGTTATTGTTGAATTCTAATTTTAATGCATGGTGGTCTGATAAGATACAGGGGGTTATTCCAATTTTTTTGTATCTGTGGAGATTTGCTATGTTTCCTATTATGTGGTCAATTTTAGAGAAGGTTCCATGTGGTGCCGAGAAGAAGGTATATCCCTTTGTGTTTGGGTGGAATGTTCTATAGATGTCTGTTAAACCCAGTTGGGTCATAACTTCTATTAGTTCTTTTGTTTCTTTGTTAGTTTCTGTCTGGAGATCCTGTCTAGCGGTGAGAGCGGAGTGTTGAAGTCTCCTATTATTAGTGTATGAGATTTCATGTGCAATTTGAACTTTAGTGATGTTTCTTTCACAAACATAGGTGCCTTTGTATTTGGGGCGTAGATGTTTAAAATTGAGACTTCATCTTGATGGACTTTTCCTTTGATGAATATGAAATGTCCTTCTTCATGTCTTTTGATTGATTTTAATTTGAAGTCTTGTTTGTTAGATATTAGGATTGCTACACCTGCTTGTTTCTTGGGTCTGTTTGATTGGAAAATCTTTTCCCAACCCTTTACTTTGAGATACCATCTGTCTTTGATGTTGAGATGTGTTTCTTGTATGCAGCAGAAGGATGGATTCTGTCTTCGTATCCATTCTGCTAGTCTTTGTCTTTTTATAGGCAAGTTGAGGCCATTGACCTTGAGGGATATCAATGACCATTGATTGATGAT